CTCTGTTTCCCTCTCTTAACACAGGGGTACCCTAGCTTATTCAGGGGCTCCCTAGCCCATACTGTGTCATGTGCATACCTTAAATTCATTGCTGGCTGTGGCTTGGGTATTCCTGGGCCATCCCCTTCCCACATCTCCTTTAACTCAAGAGTAGCTGCTAGCCCTGGAATTTGACCCAACTTCCATAATGGGACTGAAGACGGTGGCCAAGAGGCTAAGTTAGGGACAGTGAACCAGAGTTAATGTTCTTTCCTGTCTTTGAAAGCCAAAGACACAGCTCGAATTCTGCTGCATTCATGGTTATGAGCTTTCCATGCCTAGGTTCTGGGGGATTATATTTCTTTGGTGTTATTTTAAAACTTTGTTCCTGGTGTATTGTTAGAATGATTTTTGACTCTTCGGAGTCCTTTGCATTTCCATATAAATTTTAGGATCAGCATGTCAATTTCTGCAAGATAAGGCAGTTGTGATTTTGATAGGGATCTACAAATCTGTAGATCACTTTATGAAGTATCACCACTTTAACAGTATTGTCTTAGGACCGATGAACATGGGCTATCCTTCCATTTATTTAGATCTTTAATTTTCTTTGCATGTTTTATAGTTTCTAATGTACAAGTCTTACACTACTTTTGTTAAATTTATTCCTAATTATTTTATTCTTTTTGGCGCTACTTAATTTTGTATTTGGATTGTTTATTGCTAGTGTATAGAGATAGGATTTTCATATATTGATTTTGTATCCTGCAATATTGCTGAACTAATTTATTCTAATAGTTTTTTTAGTGAATTTCTTAGGATTTTTCTCTGTATAAGATCATGTCATCTTAAAAATAGAAATAGCATTTATTACTTCTGCTCCAATCCGGATACCTTTTATTTCTTCTTCTTTCATAATTACCCTGACTAGAACTCTTGGTACAATGTTGAGTAGAAGTGGTGAGAGCAGACACCCTTGTCTTGTTCCTAATCTCAGGGATAAAGCTTTGAGTCTTTCACCATTAAGTATGATAGCTGTGTGTTTTTTTTATAGATACCCTTTACCAAGTTGAGAAAGTTCTATTCCTAGTTTGAGTATTTTTTAATCATGAAAGGGTGTGGATTTTGTCCAATATTTTTCCTTTATCTGTTGAGATAATCATGTGGTTTATGTCCTTAAATATTCTATTAATATGATATATCACATTAATTGATTTCAGATATTAAACCAAGCTTACATTCCTAGGATAAATCCTACTTGATCACAGTATATAATCATTTTTATATTTTGCAGAATTTGGTTTGCTAGTAAGTATTGTACTGATGAGTTTGCACTATATTCATAAGGGATATTGATCTGTAGTTTTCATTTGATGTTATGTAGTTTTGGTACAGAGAGAATACTGATCCATAGGATGACTTGGGAAGTACACCCCTCTTTATTTTTTGGAAGTGTTTGTGAAGGATTTGTATGAACTTTCTGAGATGTTTGTAGAATGCACCAGGTGAAGCTCTGAGCCTGGCTCTCTTGTAGAAGTTTGTAAGATTATATCTTCTCTCTT